AAACCCTAAACCCTGGCGAATCAACGGGGCGGGCGATGCGCCCAAGGGAGTCACTCTGCTTTCACGCAAGACTGGAGGAGCCGAAAAGGCGAAACGAGTGGAGGAGAACGATTACTTTTAGGGTCACTTTAAGGGTTCGTTGCAGCGGGTCTACAGAAGTTCCTTTAAGGGGTTCCTTTAAACGGATCTAATTATAGCAGTTCGTTGAAGCTTTCCTTTGAGGGTGCCATAAAGTTCTGCAGCAGTAGAGTTCTGGTTTTAATCAGGTTCCGTGTAAGGGTTCCTGCGAGGGCCCTAAACCTTAAACCCTAAACCAAAACCTAAACCCCTAAACCCTTAAGCCCTAAAGACCTATAGAGATTTAGAGCTTAGGGGCTTCAAGTTTAGGGTTTCAACGGGAACTTATAAGGGTTCTATAGGGTTTTGCATAAGGCATTCTGGGCGGTTGACGGCTTTATGGTCGTTGAGGACTTAAGCTGTTATTGTTTGGGGTTCTAGGATTTTTTTTGGGGGGGGGGTTCGAGAGCGTTACAGTTCTGGTTTTGGGGTTGAGGGTTAGAGGATGCTTAGGTCTCCAGTGTCCTGCTGTCATTCAAGGTCTTTTCCCGTTTTCCCGAAGTAACAAGCTGTGCGACTTTACACTGTCTGTGTTGTACAATCGAACTCTGTCTTTAACATCCATTAGCTCCATAAGCACTCTAAACCCTAAACCCTCATTCCTCAACCCCAAACCCCAAAAGCCCTCAAACCCACGACCTATCAGACATGCCTCCGACCTGAACCCTACACCGCACTATGCCCTAAACCCTAAGCCTAAACCCGAAAGCGCTACAGTGCCTCCTCACCCCGAGCCTTTGCGAGAGATCAGACAGAGCTGCATCACGCTACTTGAAGGATCATCAGACTTAGTACCTGAAGCGGGGTCTCGGGTTCTATAATGATGTTACCTTCAAGGGTCCCTTTTCGGGGTTTAGGATGGTCTAATTACTGCAAGGGCCATGCGACTCTAGGATTTAGGTTTAAGGTTTAGGGTTTGCAGCTGTACTTAACATTTACAATTGCGTAGAACCCTAATCCCGGTACTTATAACCTTGCTTACTAAGTCCCGTGATCCTCCAAGCAGCAATGAACTGCCGTGCGGAAGGGCTGTTGATCCTCCCCAAGTCAGGAACCCCGGTAGTGAACAAAATGGAAAACTTTCTTGTGTTCCCTTTTCGGGTGACGTTTTTATTGGCTAGTAGTCTCTAGTAGCAGCTCCTCGACGGTACAGCTTTGTAGAAACTGCTCCCTCTTTTTTGGGGTGCTGGGGCCCTTAAACCTAAACCATCCTAAACCCTAAACCCTAAACCCTAGGCCCCTTAACCCTAAACCATCCTAAACCCTAAACCCTAGACCCGTGGGCCCTAAAGCTAAACCTTCAAAGCCCGAAAGCCCGAAACCCTGTACAAGCCTGAAAAGCTTACAATGTTCCTTCGTAGCCCTACATAGGTATACTATAGCATACCCCGCGACCGGACTCAAATTACCAAGGGCCCCATATCAGCGATATTACCAGGCCCCAAGATTAGCGTCAACTCCACGCACATGGATAGTTCGCACAACACCCTGGCAAAAAGATGAACGAGGCACCTTTCTAGAACGCTCGGAAAAGCTGATATGGGTACTTTTCTAAATTGGTGTCCCTTCTGAGGTTCCCCAAATCCTGCGGTAGCCGTATAAACAGTACTCTAAAACGAATCCTATTTCAGAGAACTACACATGTGCAACTGAAGGGCCTACAAAACCCAGGGGGTACGTTGGTATTTAGCCGCTTGGCGCTGCGACATCTCCGTTCGGGCATGCTGTCGAAAGCGCTCATATTTGCAGGACTTTCTTGGTTTGGAGCCAATTCTGGGGTTTATGTCTGATGGTTCCAGGAAGTAACTACAACTTAGGGCACGCTTTTCAGCACGCTTGGCTTAATTGCGTGGCGAAGTCGGCCTACTTACCCAGATCGCAATGCTGTAGACATACTCCAGTAAGCGCGCGCTCACCGTGCCATCTTGCTTACTCTTGATAGTGCATGGTACGTATTTGTCCAAAGGCGGCCACCAACGGTCTATGCACTGCGTGCCTGTCAAGACTGTACGTCCGTCCTTGAGATGGATCTTCTTGACGAACTGGTGCTTGACGTTGTAGGACTTGACGTTCTTCGTCTGCAAGCCTTTGACCAGGTTGGGCCAGCACCGCGCTCCATCCGCGTGTACGGCTGTACTGGCAGACAGACGTACACTCACTCAAATGGAGCGTGGTGCTGACCCAACCTGGTCACAAGCTTGCAGACGAAGAACTTCAAGTCCTTTTTTGCGGCGGCGGACTTTTCGAAACTGCTGAGTGCGCTGGTCTGGCAAGAACGTCCTACAACGCCAAGCACAACAAGCACCAGTTCGCCAAGAAGAGCCGTCTTAAGGATGGACGTACGTACAGTGCTAGCTGTGTCACATTGCTGCCAGCATTACTCAGCTGACACCTTCTTCACCTGAAGCAACAACCTAGGATACCCAGTAACCTAAGAATAAAAAGGCCTCTCTTTTTGGTATTGGGCAACTTTATAAGGAACCTAGGAATACAAAAAGGGAATAAGGGTACTACTGGGCATCCTAGCAACACCTGAAGCCTTCTGCACCTAAGCAACAAACCTGAAGCTTGAAGCCACACCCCTGAAGCCTCCTGTCGACTGACCCTCACAGAGGGGCAGGGGTATCGGGATTGGGGTTGCAGGGACTGATCAGCCCCCCCTACCCTTCCGTGTGTGTCCTGACAGACGTATCAACCGAGATAGCAAGGCACATGGCCAGATACGCGCGTGTCTGGGGTTAGGGCTTAGGGCTGTGGCCTAGGATTTTGGGCCCTACACCCCTAAGCCTAGCCGCCCGAAACCCTAAGCCCGAAACCCTAGACCCGAAACCCTCAACGCGAAACCCTAGACTCGAAACAAGAAGCCCTAAACCCCTAAACCACACATCGCACGCCCTAAGCCCTGAACGCTGAGTCCTACAGCCGTCGAGCCTCCAGAATAAGTGGTTTAGGGTTGAAGGGTTAAGGGTTTAGGGGTTTAAGGTTTAGGGTTTACACGCAAAGCCTCACAACCCTCAACCCATTGGGTGCCGGAGGTCTCAACTAAACCCTAAACCCTATAAACCCTAAGACCCTTCTAGAAACCCTTACAGATCCTCTTAAAGGAAGCCTAAGACCCTTATAGATACCCTTACAGATCCCCTTGTAGGAAACCAGACCTAAGGGAGGTCTCAAGAAGCCTGAGGAGCTTGGCACAGGGCACCTGGACCAATTGTGGCTCCATTTCCGTTTTTGTCAAGCGCCTTCATCCCGAAGCCGGCACTTCTAAGTTCTCTCGAGGTTTCCTTGTTGTAACTTTCCTAGTCCTTCAAACCCTACTGAAAACCCTGTCAGTATGGAGAGACCGAAGACCACCGGACCGGGAATGGCATGCACGTTCGCGCACACAGGCCTGTGGGCCATTGTTCTCCACGCAGCCACCATTGGGCTTGTTCAGGGTTTACGTAGACCCTATGGAACCCCAAGTTCTAAACCCAACTCCCGTCATGCCCCAACCCCTCCAAACCCTAAATTAAACCCCTAAAGCCCTAAGCCCCAAACACCTACACTAAAAAAGCTCACCGACCTGAATACTCTAAATCCTAAGTCTCTAAAACTCCACATGCTGAACCTTAAGCCCAACGGCCTTAATAATTACAAATATTGTTCCTCAGGGTTCCTCTCTCTCTCTCTCTCTCTCTCTCTCTCTCTCTCTCTCTCTCTCTCTCTCTCTATTATATATATATACATACATATGTACACACACACTATAAGGAGCTCAAAACCGTAGTCCCTGAACCCTCGACCCTATTCCTTCATTCATTCGCTTTGGGAATCTTGGGGGGTCATCCCTAAGCCCGGAAACCCTTAAAGCCTCGACCTTAAGCCCGAAACTATCAATTCTAGGTAAGGGTTTAGGGGTTCAAAGTTCGAGGTTTGTGAGTTTAAGTACCCTAGATCATGATAGATCCCTCTGCGATGCAAGGTACATTCCTCACTCCCCGGAAGATCTAGAAATATGCGACTCCGACAAGCAAAGCCTACCCTAACCCATGTAATGGTACATAGATTCCTTTCGAGGGGAGGTTTCAGATTTGTTTATTAGTCCTGTCAGGTTTTAGGGTTTAGGGATTTAGAGTTTAGGGTTTAGGGATTTCCCGTCGAGTCAACGGTCTGGGCGATTTAGGCGTCTTGAAGCCGAGGCTGGGGGGTTCGTTTACTATACTAAACCCTAAGCCCTAAGCCCTCACCCCTTATAGAACGCTTAAAGGAACTTTATTCGAATTTTAGTGCCTCTATACTAAGCCCGTATAGAACTCTTTTGCGGAACTACTTTTTAGGAACCTTGTCAACTTGTAAAGGAAACCTAGGCCCTTGTAGAACTCATAACGTGACCCTTGTTAAGAACATGGTAAAGGAATGCGGCCTCTAAGTAAGAGTATGCGTTTAAACTATACAGGGGCCCTTGGTACGCTTTACAGCAATTTTTTGGATTAAGGATTTAGGGCACAAGCCCGACTAGCGTGGAAAGATGCCCTACCATATGGCGTGTGTGTGTATAATATGTATGTATGTAACTATATACGTACAAATGGTACATATACACACATAAGATATTTGTCTGTTTGTTTACTTATTTGAATACTTTTGCTTCTTTATGTCTGAAACTGCCTATGCCGCTGGTGGCAGGCAGGCCTGTATCTTCAAAAAAACTGAAACCGTCTGACCACGCGAGGTATTCGCATTGTCCGGGTTGCATCATAGCACGAAAGAGGCCCTACAGGCTGTAACCCTAAACCCTAAACTCCCCAAACCCTAAACCCTAAGCCCTTAACCCGCTCCAGCAATTTGAGTCCAGAGTTTCATCCCGCGCATGAGAACCACCACACCCCTAAACCGTACGACTATGCAGTCTTTTGTCTCTTGCCGTTTGGCACGGCTTTCTCCGTCACAATGCCTTCAATGACGGCCTTGAGCTCATCATAGGTTTTGACGATCGGGATGTCCTCACATGACACCATGCTTTAGTCTTCTGAGTTTAGAGATAGTTTAGAGTTTAGGCTACCAGAAACTGGATAAGCACAGCCCAGATATATCAGCACCAATACTTCTCACACCCCGTGTCGTGATTGCGACGTTTCCTCTGGCCCTGACCCCGAAAATACCATATTCCATCTTGGAGATCGTTCACGGTTTACAACTCCTAAACCCTAAAACACCATATGTATTCTAAGATACGGTTTTAGGGATTAGGGATAGTTTAGCTACTGTTTGCTTAAGAAACCACCAAAAATTTAAAAAAATAATCCCTATATTGCACCCATAAGGAATATATATATATTTATTTATTGGGGGGTTCTTAAGCAAATAGTAGTTTGGGTTTAGGACCCAAGGATCCTGATATTATGGTTTCCCGCATGTTTCTGAAGAGCTGCTAACTCCAAGCCCGAGGCCCGGGTTGTGCGTGGTTAATGTCATAAAGGGAACTCCAGAAAGTTGGAATATGGATTGATGGTAGGATCCCCTTTAATTTCCTTAAAGGGGTTTCGATCATGATATTCCAACTTTCTGGCTTCTACTGTAGGGACCCTTAGGGGGGTCGGGGGAGGGGGTGTAGGGGGCCTTAAGGCCAATAAAAAGGACCTAGTAAGGCCTATTTCAGCAAGTATAGTCCCCTACCCCCTTGCCCCCTACCCCCCCCCCCCCCAAGGGTCCCTATGTTGATGTAGGGGCCTTAAAAACAGGATAAGGGTAGTTCTCTAAAGTAGGGTCCCTTTTGGGGTCCTTTGTAAAAGTGCGCCATACTATTTTGGGGACCTTCTAAAAGGACCCTTACTTGGAGAACTGCCCATAAGGGTTTTGGGGTCCATTCCTGTAAGTATCATCAGGAGTCCTAAACCATACTACTACCAACCATTCCGACCCGTTACCTTCAGACTGATTTAGTGGTGAGGGTGGCATGGTTTCAGAGTTTACGCATGAGTGCTACAATTTCCAGAAAGCCAATGGGAGAACTGCTAGCTTTTTGGCCTTATACATTTGGCCGCCTGCTTTAGATAGCTTGAAAAATGAACATTTTTGGGTCCGGTTATTGAAGAAGAGAGGTTCAATTTTCAGTATCCGGGATCTATGCTTAGGGCTCTTCGGGGTACAACGCTATGAAGGAGCCCCTAAACCCCGAAACCCCCAACCCTAAGCCCTATAAACCCTCAATTTAGAGACTCGGCTGAATTCAGAACCCTCCTAAAAGTTAAACTTTTAGCCTCCCTAATAATATGCTTCATATAGTAACCCGAAGTGCTAAAGTCCTAAGAGCCAAGCAGAAGAACGCCAAGCAAACGGAGGTCCACAGACTGCGAATCAGGGGCGTTGCTACCGGTTGATGGTATAAATCTTGCATTACCCTTAAGAAGGAGTCTACCATAATTCCCATAGTTTAGGGTCCTTAAGGTAATGCTGGATTTATATCACCAACCGTAATTGGGGGGTTCCTCGACTTTGGGATCCTTGAGGAAACTTCGGTTGCCTCGGTCCAGGATTTACGGGTTGTAGAGTTTAAGTGTCAAGGTTGTACGGTTTAGGGTAGCAGGTTTTAGGGTTTAGGGTTGTAGAGTTTAAGTTTCAGGGTTGTAGGGTTTAGGGTTTACCTAACCTACCTTTTTAAGGACTCATGTAAGGAAATCAAAATAAGAAACCCTAAAAATGTAAGTTCCTCAGGGGCCAGGTACGGTCTAGGGCTTATAGGGTGGCAGATTTTAAGTTTTAGGGTTGCGGTGCTTTAAAAGGTCTAATGTCGAATCTACGGCAAGGACTCTGGCTACTGGTACCTTGGTAAAACCTAAACCCTAAACTATAAAACCCGAAACCCTAAGACCCTAAGACCCTAAACCCTCAAACCTAAACCCTAAAAACGAGCTTGCACGCATGCCCCACTATCCGATGAAGCTACACCCTAAACCCGACACCGTAAAACCCCCTAAACCCTAAACCCTACACCCCTATAAACCCTTAACCAGAAGCCTCCTGGGAGCCTTAAAGGAACCCTTAAGGATCTTTTGTAAAAGAACCCTTCGAGTCTCTGGGAAAAGCCCAAAACCGTGGCTACAAGCAGGCTTGCAGCGGTAAACCCTAAACCCTGTTAAGGTTTAGGGTTTAGGGTTTAGGGTTAAGGTTTAGGGTTTAGGGTTTAGGGTCTAAGCCGAGGCTGCAGCGGCAGAAGTGTTGCTAATTGGAAGATCTTGGGAAATAGCAACTTAAAGGGCCCCTTGAAGGGGATCTATAAGGGATTTCTATAAGGGTACTATAGAGATACTTGGAGGATCATGGGACATGGTGATTGCAGTTTAAGTTATTAGCCCGAATCTGATGTCAGAATATTTAGTTACCAAATTTTACAACCGTAGATACTACCTAAACCCTGAATGACCTTCCTCTTTAAGGACTTTTACAAGGAAATCATAATAAGGAACCCTAGAAAGGTAGGTTCTTTACGGTCCAGGTAGGTCCTACGAAGCTCTAAGTAGCCTCCAAGCCGTGCTTCGAAGATGCGTTTTTGCAACTTGACTGCGCGCAGCGAGCCTCTCCGGCTCAGGACCAGAGGCACATCTGCTATTACACGTTTTTCAGCTGGTTGAGCACGCTACGACCGGGGGCAGTGCTTTTCGAACCCCAGGTCACGATGGAGCCGTCGCCAAGAATGGCAGCAAATGCACTGGGGGGCACATGTCCGCGTGTTGCTTGAATCTGCTGCACGTTCTTCAGTTTATCCTGCACGGCTCTACTGCTACCTCCATGGTCAGACCAACCCCACGTCACGACGGATCCATCTTCAAGGATAGCAGCGAAGGCATGGAACACGACCTGGATCTGCTTCACATTTTTTAGCTGCTCGCGCACCGCGGTGCTGTGGACACCAAGCTGATCACCCCAAGTCACCGCAGTTCTATCGCCAAGAATGGCAGCGAAAGCGCCCCAAGAGGCTTGGATCTGCTGCACATTCCTCAGCTGATCCTGGACGGCACTACTGTTACCACCACCGTAGGCATTTCCCCAGGTCACGACTGATCCATCGCCAAGAATGGCAGCAAAAGCCCCATCCGTGGCTTGGATGTACTTCACATGCTTCAGCTGATTCCGCACAGCTCTACTGTTACCACCTTCAGCAGGATCACCCCAGGTCACAACCGATCCATCACCGAGAATAGCAGCGAAAGCGTGCTCAGTAGCTTGGATCTGCTCCACATTCTTCAGGTGATCCTTTACAGCAGTACTGTCTCCACCGCACCGAGCGTCGCCCCAGGTCACCACCGAGCCATCGCCAAGAATGGCAGCAAAAGCTCGTCGAGAGGCTTGGATCTGCTGCACATTCTTCAGCTGCCCTTGCGAAGCGCTGCTGTCGGCACCACACTCAGCATGACCCCAAGTTACAACTGATCCGTCCTCAAGAATGGCTGCAAAAGCGCCGCCATTTGCTTGGATCTGCTGCACATTTCTCAGCTGATCTTGCACGGCATTACTGTCACCACCATAGCCAGCACGACCCCATGCCACGACCGATCCATCGCCAAGAATGGCAGCGAAAGCGCAGGCAGTGGCTTGGATCCGCTGAACATTCTTCAACTGAGCCTGCACAGCACTACTGTCACCACCATGACGGGCAGAACCCCAGGTCACGACCGATCCATCACCGAGAATGGCAGCAAAAGCATGCTCAGAGGCCTGGATCTGCTGCACATTCCTCAGCTGATCCTGCACGGCACTGCTATCAGCAGCTTCACCATACCCCCAGGTCACGACAGATCCATCGCCCATAATAGCAGCAAAGGCGCTGTCGGAGGCGATAATTTGCACTCTTCTCATATGCAAGGTCAGTGAGTCACCGTTCTGAAGCCTAGCGCGCTTGATCGGTGCACATGCATCAAGGATATTTCCAGACACGTCCAGCAGGCGTCCTTTTCCCACTCCTAGTGCCGTCTGTGCCCGACGTCTCAACGTTGCCACCGTTCCCTTCAAGCTCGTCGTCACTGTAGCTGTCTTGCCGCTGAGCAGTCCAACTTCAACACTAATATCTGGAGCCATGAACTTACCTTAAATCACTTGTGACCAGTATTGTAACTTCAGAAAAATTAAGGCATATTCCAAGATTCTACGCCCTCAGCGCCAAACCCTAAACCCCTCAACCCAAAAATCCTAAAAACCTTAGCCCCTCAACTTTAACACCCAAACCCCAAAACCCTAAGGAGGAATAACGGTGGCGCGGAGCCTCTAAGCTGAGAAGTTTTATGGTTGAAGGTTCTTGAGCCGATCTCATCGTTTTGGGTTTGGGATTTAGGAGTCCAGCGTTACGGGGTTAAGGGTTTAGGGTTACTGGGCTTAGGGGTAAGGGGTTCAGGGTTATGGGGTTTAGGGGTGAGGGGTTTAGGACTCATCTAAATCCATGCATATGATTTTTTCAAGCTCCTATATGGTCTCATAGGGCTCCGAAACCGGGTATATAAGCGGCGGCGGGGGGGGGATAAATCGTAGAGGTTCAGGGTATTTAAGCAGACTCCACCAGGTTTGTTTTACGAAGCTGGCTTTGAAGTTCGGGGTTTTGGCTCTACTTAGGACTGCTGGGTTTAGGTCAGCTACGGGTTTTGCGTGTTTTTGGCCCCAAACCTTAAACAGTCAGATAGATGTTCGAGGACTTCGGCTGACACTAAACCCTGAACCGTAAACCCTACATCCTAAAACCCTTAACCCTAAACCCTAAATCCTAAAACCCTCAACCCTAAACCCTATACGTTAAACCCTAAGTCCTAGACCCACTAACCCTTAACCCTACATAGGGTTTAGGGCTTAAGGCTTTCATTTTGAGCTCGGTGCATCCGTCGGCTTTTTAGGGTCCACTTGAAACGTGTGCAGCTGCCTTCCTAAAACCCGGCGGTTTAGGGTTTAGGGTTTAGCGCCCCTAGATAAGGCTCATGATCCTTTCAGAGGAGCTCACCCCAACAGATCCCCTCTCCCTATGCCTGGGCTTAGCATTAAGTGTGACATTTTCGGGTTGGGTCTTTGGGGTTCTTCAGTTTTGGCTTGCAGTTCAGGGTGCAGGGTGAACAGTTTTGACCCCCTGAACCCGAAACTCGAAACCCTTCGTTGAGGCTTCCGTGGTTGCACTCACGGTTTGCAGTCTCACATATTAACCCTTAGGCTCTAAGGACTCATATTTTAAGGCCTTTGGGCCCAAAGACCATACTATATAAGGCTTTTGGGCCATTTTGAGCCTTAGGGTAAAAGACCCCAAACGGTATCCTTCTGTAGACCGCTGATTAGAAGACCGTGTCGTTTCAGGGACTTAGCGCTGGGATTCCTGCTGGGGTTCATGGTTTACGGTTTAAGGTAATACTAGGATTCCTTCTATAATCGCTATAATCCTAATGAAGGGTCCCTAAACCCTAATTATGGGGCTGTCCGAAAATTAGGGGTACCTTTTTGGTGGTCCTTGTAATGAGGATCCTACTTCTTAGGGTACTATATTAGGGACCCCTATGTGCGGAAACTCCCATATATGGGGCTTAAACAGAAGGGTCCCTAAACCCTAAACTAATTATTTGAAGACCCTAAACCCACATCATTTGCAGGACCCCTGAGCAAGGGACACCTCATTTTCCAGAAGCCGCCACATCTACAACACCCCTAAAGCCAAAGTGCTTAGGGGTTTAGGGTTTAGGCTCTTCGACCCTTGTAAAGTCCTCGTTAAACCCAAACCTCTTAAAAATAGCTCTACAACCCCTAAACCCTAAACCCTAAACCCTAAAACCCTAAAGCACTGTAAACGGTTCAGACCCAAGCTCATAAGCCTGAGCGTTCCCGCCCTTGCTAAACGCTGAACACCTAAACCCTAAACCTAGGGTTTAGGGTTTAGGGTGTAGGGTGTAGGGTGTAGGGTTTAGGGTTTAGGGTGTAGGTTGTAGGGTTTAGGGTTTAGGCTTATCCTGAACCCTGAGCCCTCATCCCTAAACCCTGAACCCTAAAGCCCCACCATTGCTGCCCAAAGCTCGGTGATTTCTATTTCTTCTCAACCTCCAAAACACTGTAATTAAAAGGTTTAGGCCCAAACTCGCAAGCTTAAACCTAAACCCTAAACTAAACCGTGCCCAAGGCTCTGTGATTTCTTTGCGGATGGATTCCGAGGGCCGGTAGAGGATGCCCTTTTCCGCTGCATGAAGCATCTCCTGGGATTTTCCCAGAGTCCTAGGCTTCCTTTAAAGGGATCCTTAAGGGCTCTTTTAAAGGGATCTAGAGGAACTCATAAGGGGTTCCTTTAAAAGGTTTCTATTGTGGTGGTTTATAGGGTTCCTTTAAAAGGGATCCTTACGGGCTCCTTTAAGGGCTCCTATCAGGGATCTATAGGGTTTAGGGTTTAGGGCTTACGGGTTTAGGCTTTAATTCCCAGATGGCAGGATCCAAAACAATCGATCCCTGAAAGGGGCTCCTGTACCGTACCCCGTAGTGGTATAGGGTCCCAAATTAGGGCATCTACTTTTCAGATCCTTTCAGGGGTTTGGGTTTGGACCACAATTAAAGCCACGTAATGGGGATCTACTTAATTATAGTGAACAATAGGGTTCAGGTTCCAGGCATGACGTTCTACAGTGACTCCGCAGCTTTCAGGGTGTAGATGTGCAAATTGCCCGGGCTTTTATAAAAGCACCCTAAGCCCCTAAACCCCAAACCCTTATGGAACCCTTATAGATCCCTTTAAGGAACCCCGAAGCCCTCGATTCTCTTGGTCTTGCACTCTGCGCTCGAGCTTCGTTTTGTGGTGTTGAGGGAGGCGGTTGTGGGCCGAGATGCTAACTGTCCCCTTATTCGGATCTGGGCATGTGATGTAGGGTTTAGGGTTTAGGGTTTAGGGATGTGGTGATGTGGATGATGACCATGATGACGATGAGGCTGATGATGATAGTACGCGAGGGTTCTGCTTTGGGACAGGGGCGGGGTCGAATTTCACATTTCAGGTGTCTGCTTCTTGGACTTCGGACAAAGGGGGGAAGTGACATCTCGTTTGCTGCCCCTTCTTGAGAGTTTGGGATTTCGTGTTTATTTCATACAGGTCTGCCATACGATGATCCTGCATATTATGTGATTTCTTGTGCTTCAAGCTTTTCAGCCTCAACAGCAACACGCTCACATGCGAACGGCCCGGAGTCACTCAAGAACGCGTCACCCGGTTTGAGCTAGACTAATGGGGACCTATAGTGCGCAGTACCGGGTTTCTTGATGGTGCAAACTTAAACTAGATACCTTAACAAGAACCCAGTCTCCAAAAAAATAGGGGCTCCTTGATAGTGAAAATCTCTACTAGGATCTAATCTAGGGATGATTCCGAATCTGAAGGGCCTTTTTTCACAAGGATCCGTAAGCCCTAGGCCCTAGACCCCAAGCCCTAGGATAGGATGGGTTTAAGTTTTGCAAGATACTTCTAGGGTTTCTAGGTTTGATGGGGTCCCAGTGTTTTGCACTGCTAATCCAAAACCGTACACCCTAAACCCCCAAACCCTAGTAGGGTGTACTAAGGTTTCCACAGGTTTACCCAGAGACTCCAATATCCCTTAATTAAGGAATATACCTTATATCATATTAGGGATCCTATGAAAATTTAAGGTATATTCCTTAATTAAGGGATATTGGAGTCTCTGGGTAGCAGGTGCTAGGCAGTTTCTCCATAGCCCCTTCACAATGAGGGTAGCCTTGGTCCTAGTATTCGGGTTTAGTAGGGGAACACCAAAACAAAAAGGGCAAAAGGGTACTACTCAGCCTAGGATTCGTGGGTTTGGGGGTAGGGTCTAGGGTTCGAGACCCTAAACCCTAAACGATTCTTGGTGCGGTTGGCTTTGCGGGCCCTTCGGGTTTAAGGTTCACGCCATAGGCCCTTAAACTAGGCCTAACCCCTACCTAAGGGATCATGGGGTAACTATACTCATACATTTATAGCCTCAATTTAAGGTACTTGCAACCTTACTTACTAAGTCCTATGATCCTCTAAGTGGGTGGTTGTCAAAGTTATGGTCTTTTTTTGGGTATCCTAAATAGTAGGTTCCGTCCTATAATAGGGACCCCAAAAGGGACCATCATTTTGACAACTACCCATATGAATCCTACTATTGGGGTTATAGGCCCAGGGTATCTTAATCAGGGTCCTACATTAAACCCTAAACCCTAAACCGTATACCGAAGCCTAACGTGACAAGTCCTTGACAACCACCCAAGTAAACCCTTAGAAACGGCTTGGGTGGAGAGGCCTGGGGCGGCCGGTTCCGGGATTTCATCGCCAAGGCTCCTGAAAGCCTACAGGAATAATGAAAGTTAAAGACTTAGAATAGGGTTTAGGGTTTAGGTTCTAGGGTTTAGGGATGTAAGTTAAAGACTTAAGAATAGGGGTCTAGGGTTTAGGGTTTAGGTTCTAGGGTTTAGGGATGTAAGTTAAAGACTTAGATTAGGGTTCTTGTAAAACTAGGTTCCTCAGTAACCCCTTAAGAAGAAGGGTACCCTTTTTAATAATGCTCAGCTTTAATCAGGAAACCCCAAACTAAACAGGGCAAAAAGGAGGAACCTAGCAAAGGACTCTATGCTGGGCTATGATAAGGGGCATATTGAAGGTTTAGTTTCAAGGGCTTTCAGAGTGTGAATGTGGTTGTTGCGGCACATTGTAAATTTTAGCTGTATCTACAGGACGTTCTAAAGTTTAGGAGTTTAGGCTTTGAGACTATCCGATTTAGTTGGCGTCCCAAACATTGAAAGCTTGGCGCCGTCTCTGAATTCGCATTTACGGTTAATTAGGCCTCAGTCCTCTACCCGGAAACGTTGGTCTAGAGATCAGCATTTTGGAGCTGAGGGCTTTCGTGTGACGGGTTCAATGTTAAGAGTGGTTTAGGGTTTAGGGGCCAATCATGCACCATGCCAACCGATCAACCTCTTGAATGCCCGATAATAGAAGACCGGGCGGCGATGTCATTGAAAGAGCTGCCAACTGCCTGACATGTGGGGCTTCCAGTTTCTAAACCCCCAAAGCACGACAACTACTAATTCTCTTACCCTCACCCTTACAATTACCCTAAGGCTCTAAGGACTCGTATTTCAAATCTTTTGGGCCCAAAGACAGTTTTATATCAGGTTTTTGGGCCATTTCTTATAGGATCCTTAAGGGAGGGTGGTTCAAGGGGGGAGGGTATAAGGAATCCTTAGGTGACTGTAAGGGAACCTTAGGGAGTACTAGGGAGGATTAGGGATCACTAGGCATCTACCCCCCTTGGACCCCCGTCCCTTAAGGATACTACAAATTTCGAGCCTTAGGGCTGCCGTTGCCCTTACTGCTTGCTGGGCACCTTAAAGCACCTCATTCCAGTGTGGCGCTCGAAACGCCGAAAGCGGCAAAAGTCACAGCAACAAACACCCAGAGACTCCAATACCCCTTAATTAAGGAATATTCCTTAAATCATATTAGGGATCCTACTACAATTTAAGGAACATTCCTTAATTAAGGGATATTGCAGTCTCTGGAAGTCAATCACCATGAGGACGCTCACTCTGAGATTGCATCGCGGCAACTTTAAAAAATGCACGATTCTCATTCACTTCCCCGCTTAGTAATCTACAGTCATTGCTACATTCTCAGCCCAAACACTGCTACCGGAACTAACGCCAATTACATGGTGCATTCATGCTGCACTTTACATGTACGATGACTAACACAACGACGATTGCGATAGTACTGCAATGGTTACGACACTGCGACAACAACCACACCAGCAGCAGAAGCAGCAGAAACCCTAAACCCCTAAACCGGTGGCTCTTCTCAAGCTCGCGAGCCTGAGCCTCGCGTAACACACGGGTCTTAATAATGAGAATAGGGTTTTGGGGCCCATTATATTATCATCATAATAAGGAACCCCCACAATAGCATTGGTAATTCATGTAATTCCGTGCTCCCACACTTCAAACAGTGGGTCAGTTGTTGCGATGTCTGGTAGATCTGGGATGGGAGGCTCTGCTCGCAGGACGTTTTGAACCTTGCTAAGTCGGATGGCTTTTGCCCTTTCCGACGGCGCATCGTCGCATCTTGATGTTACCAGAGCGTCCTTGAAGCGAAGGCGACCGATGTGTGTGCATTAAGGACGATCAGATGCACCGAATACTCCGGATCGAGCCGATCTACATCGGCGCGGGTCTTGCATTTGTTCTTGCCGAAGTCAACCCAGAGACTCCAATATCCCTTAATTAAGGAATATACCTTAAATTATAATAGGATCCCTAATATGATTTTAGGTATATTCCTTAATTAAAGCATATTGGAGTCTCTGGGAAGCCGAAAAGGCCCCGGTTCATGCGGGTTTCGCTCTCTGCAGGGCCTCCCTGCGTTCTTGCTGCACGTGGCGCTCCTCTTGGGCTCAGGCCCAGGCTCTTCTTGAAACCCTACTATTTTAGGGCCCCCCCAAAAGCACATAAGCAAAAATTAGGAGAGGGATATCCCATACCAACCCCCTTATAATGAAGCCCAATAAGGTAGGGATATCCCTACAAAAGTTTTGGGTAGTTGTCAACATTATGATCCCTTTTTGGGAACCCTAAATATTAGGTGCCGTAATATAATAAGGACCCAAACAGGGGAGTAGATAGCCTAGTGATCCCTAGTACTCCCTAAGGTTCCCTTACAGTCACCTAAGGATTCCTTATACCCTCCCCATTATAATAAGGACCCAAACAGGGGACCCTAAACCCTAAACCCTCAAGAGCAGGATAAATAGAAATTGTGTGACATTCGAATCGAATTGCATTTTCATTCGTCTCGAAGTTTCACTAAACGTGTGGGAAGAAAGCGCGGCCCAAAAACAATCCAATATCCAAGCACTTCAGCTCTTCAGACCCAGAGCCCCCCCAGCCCCCCAGCCCAGCCCCAGCCCCAGCCCACCCCAGCCCCAGCCCCAGCCCCACCCCAAGCCTCCTCAGCCCCAGCCCAGCCCCAGCCCAAGCCTCCCCAGCCCCAGCCCCCCAGCCCCAGCCCCAGCCCGCAGCCCCCAGCCCAGCCCCAGCCCCAGCCCCCCAGCCCCCAGCCCCCAGCCCCAGCCCCAGCCAGCCCAGCACCAAAATCAAAATATCAAAGCAAAAACCAAAACGTTTCGCTCAAAACGTTTCGCTCAAAACTTTCGCTCAAAATCCCGGACCCAAACCCTATACAATTTCTATAAACCCTAAACCCTAATAAGGACCCAAACAGGGGACCCTAATTTTGACAACCACCCATTTGGGTAATGGGACCCCTAGGGCTTGACGACGCCGACAGAAGCAGCGGCCGGTTTAGGGTTTAGGGGGTTTAGGGGTTTAGGGGTTTAGGGTTTAGGGTTTAGGGTTTAGGGTTTAGGGTTTAGGGGTTTTAGGGTTTAGGGTTTAGGGTTTAGGGGTTTTAGGGTTTAGGGTTTAGGGTTTAGGGTTTAGAGTTTAGGGCAATGGCAACAGCAACATCGGTAACCACAACCACAACCACTGCAACCGCAACCGCAGCACCAACAGCAGCGCAACCACCACCAACACAACGGCAACGACGACTACTGCTACGACGACTTCAAACGTGTGGTTGCGTTCCGAAACACTGACTACTTCAACCTTAAACCCCAAACCGTCCATTCCGTGACCAGGGGGCAATGATTCGAAAGTTTAGCCGCTGCAACTCCTGCACCGTCCTTAGTCGGAGCTTTACGGGCTTCAAAGGGCTTGGAAAAGACGGGGGTTAGGGTTTGGGGGTTTGGGGTTGTTTTGGGGTTAGGGGTCAAGATGCATTAAACGCTGAAGGTGCACTAAATCTGAAACGGCATCAACCACTCCTCCCAACTCTGAACATTTAGGGTGAGGAGGACGAAAGGGATGATGGAATTGAGTTTGATGTGCTCTTGTGTAGCATACATAAGAAGCTGCCCCCACCCTGTAATAGTGGTATAATAGGAACATAATAGGGCCCTCATATAATCCTTATAGTCACTATTACAGGGTGGGAGCAGCTTCTAAAGCATACCATGCTCGGTATCCAACTGCTCGTGGTGAATAAAGATCGAGGGTATAGGGGCCTTAATAATTAGAATAGGCATAAGGAGCCCCAAATAATAATATTTGAAGTAAGTCCTTATACTAAACCCTAAACCCTAAATCTTATAGTAGCCCTTATAGAGAGGGTCTGATGATGCCAGTCTTAAGGATGCTGCAGGCGGCCGCGCCGTTCGGGTTATTATGCGCAAAAGCAACGGGAGACATCTGTGCAGAGATGCAAAAGAAACGGGACACAGGGGTTTAGGGGCTTAGGGGTTCAGGGTTTAGGGGTTTAGGGGTTTAGGGTTTAGGGGTTTAGGGGTTCAGGTTTAGGGGTTCATGGTTTAGGGGTTTAGGGGTTCAGGGTTTAGGGGTTTAGGGGTTAGGGTTTAGGGTTTAGGGTTTACCTCGGATAGGAGCCGGCATGTCAATAGAATGCCGAAAGCATGGTTTGTCAGATGCATCCTCCATTCCGTGACCTCACCCAAAATCAGTATGCCGGACAAAGGTGTCGCAATGACTTCCGGAACAGTTGTAAGGTCATGACCCTCAAATTCAGCTACCGCACAAACATGTTCCACACGGTCTTTGGGAGTTGAGCATCCCTAACTAAACCCTAGACCGCTAGAACCATAACCCGAAACCGAAAAACACAAAACAGTGCGGTCCAGCGGCTCATATCGTAGGGAGACTGGGGTGCCGGTTTAGGGTTCCCAGAGACTCCAATCTTCATTAAGGAGTATACCTTGAATCATATTAGGGATCCTACAAAAACTTAAGGAATATTCCTTCATCCAGGGATATTGGAGTCTCTGGGTTGGGGTTTAGGAAATGCATAGCAGAAACAGCTTGAGATGCCAGCCGCCTTAGACTCACTGTAGAAGGGCCTAGACACGGTCTCGAAAATACACCGTTGCAGTAACTTTCCAAAAGCCACCCCCCAAACGCCTCAACATGTGAAGGCCTAAACCCTGCAACTCCTGAGCCCCTAAACTCCGAAATCCGTAAAGCCCTAGCCCCTAAACCTTTAAACCGTAAACCTATAAACCTCTAAACCCTAAATCCACATAGAATCTTTACGACAACACTCAAAGGAACTCTTACAGAAGCCCTTTAAAGAAAGCCAAAACTCTAAACCCCAAACCCTCCACCCCGAACTTTAACCCTTAAGGCCCCCCTTATATTGACCCCTTTTACAGAACCCTGCAAAAGGACCTTCATTCTCGAAGCCCTACTAGGGGAATCAAGGCCATTTAAAGTTTGAAGAACCCTTAACCCCTGAACCCTAGACGCCTGAACCCACAAAACCCTAAACCCCTAAACCGTATAGATCCCTTTAAGGAGCCCTATAGATCCCTTTATAAGGAGCCCTATGAACCCTCTAAACCCTCAACCCTCTGAACCCAGGTTGAGAGTCTTCAACTTCTGATCTTTCAGGCGAGTGATGAGCCGCTTCATGAAGCCTTCAAGGGACCCAGAAAGCCCAATAAAGGGATCTATAAGGGTTCCTTTAAGGGTTCCTGTAGGGGGATGAGGGTTTAGGGTTTTAGGGCTTTAGGGTTCCTTTAAAGGGATCTATAAGGTAAGGGTTCCTTTAAAGGGTTCCTATGAGCCGCTTCATGAAGCCTTCAAGGGACCCAGAGAGCCCAACACCTCTTAATTACGGAGTATAGCTTAGGGTTTAGGGTTTAGGGTTTAGGGCCCCTTAACCTAATAGTTTAAGGTATATTGCTTAATTACGGGGTATTGGGCTCTCGAGGGATGAGTGTTTAGGGTTTCATTTGTTTAGGGCTTTAGGGTTCCTTTAAAGGGATGTATACGGTTCCTCTAAGGGTTCCGGTTTAGGGTTCCTAGAAGGTTAGGGGTTTTGGGTTTAGGCATTTAGGGTTTAGGGTTTAAGGGATGAGAGTTTAGGGCTCAGGGGTTTAGGCATTCGGCTCACTACGTCTAGCTTTGTTTTACATCTTTTTCTATATAAGAGGTTTATGACGTTTTTGTAGCGGTTTAGAGTTGCGGAAAATCTACCGGGTTTGATGGTGGATATAAGGGGTTTATGACGTTTTTGTAGGGGTTTAGAGCTGTGGAACATGTACCGGGGCTTTGGTGGGTTTGGGGCTATAAATCCTTTCAAGAACCCTGCACTGAGGCAGTGGAGAGGAAGGGAAGGAAGGAAATGGGTTTAACATTGGGAAACGCCGGGTTCCTTCCAAGGGTTCTATATGGGCGACTACTACAAGGCTTCTATTAGGGTTAAGTTTAGGAGGTTGACCCAGAAGCGATATTGGAGGGGAGAGCTTGCCCGTTCCAGGCGTTGGAGGAGCAGGAACGTCACGTCCACCTCGCGTGCTTCGGGTTCTTGCCGTATAAGGCTTCGAGGAGGCTCTCGACAGGGAGCCATCCCTCCTCCGATATTTATGATGTTCACGTCTTGGGAGTCCAACAGGCCTTCACGCCTGAGGATCCGCGTCACAGCGTATGAGGCCCGACCGGCGAGCCAGCCACGGCGAGAGACCCCCGACTGCTGTGTTGTACTTTGTGCTGTGCTGTGTGCCGCCTCCGTGCTGCGTGTGCTGTCTGCCGTGGTTGTGCTGCCCTGCTTCAGCCCTCCGGAGTCCTTGGCGATCAGGTGCCATTTCAGCTCAGAAGACCAGCTCTTCGCAGGATATGTCGGTTCCAGTGGCTGGAGGAAACACTAGACCTGTCAGAGTTTCCTAAACTCGAAACTCCTTATACATCCCTAAACCCTAAACTCCTAAACCCCTTCCTGAACTCTAAATCCGAAGCCCTTAAACCCTAAACCATGGACCCTTTAAAGGAACCCTTATAGATCCCTTTAAAGGAACCCTCCCGGGGGATGGCTTTAAAGGAGCCCAGGAAGTCCCCAAACCCTAAGCCCAAAACCCGTAAAACCCTAAACCCTAAACCCTAAACCCTAAACCCTAAACCCTAAACCCCAAACCCTAAGCCCAAAACCCGTGAAACCCTTAAACCTCAAGGTTTCTGGGTTTTTTGTTTAAGAGCCCGGGGACTCTAAAAACCCCTAGGAAATTGGAGTTCCTTTAAAGGGATCCCTGGCGTTCCTTTAAAGGGATCTATAAGCGTTCCTTTGAAATGCTTATGGTTTAGGGTTAAGGGGAGAGATACGATAAAAGTATTACAACTCCTGGACTCTAAAACGCCTATTGGAATAGTAACCAGGGTTACAAGTAAGCTAACCATACTTACAACTGAGCCTTTGAGTAGGGTTCCTTTACAGGGCTCCTTTAAAGATACTATAAGCGTACTATCACGGTTTCGTGAAGGGGCCTTAATGGGTTTGGGGTGGTATATTGCCGCATATTTCGAAGAATGATACGTTTTGGTATACTTATAATTCCTTTTGAATGAAGCCCCTTGGCCCCTTCTAGTAGAAATAGAGAAGCCCGTTCAAGAACATTGGAGGGATCCATTCAAGTGCATTTTGGCCCTTCTCTGCGCCTTCATCGTCCGCCTCAAAGAAATTGCAGAACACCTCAACTTGGGGATTCTACTGAGGTAGTTCTCCAAGACCGTCCCGAGGGTTCTTGGCTTGTTACGCTGTCCTCGGGCTTTTGCCTGCTCCTGTGCTCGCAACCCCTAAAACTAAACCCTACAACCTTAAACCCCAAACCCTCGAGCCCTAATTAAACCTTAATGCCCTAATGAGCCCTAAACACTAAACCCTAAAAACGTCCTAAACACCAAACAAAGAAGTCCTAAACACCAAACCCTACAACCTTGAGGAAGCTCACAAACACGGCCAGCACAGCCCCTCAGCCCGTGCGACGCGGATCTCGTACTTGCTGGGACAGGTTTTCAAGGTCGACAGCATGCCCTTATAGTAATCCCCCAAAAGTTGGAAACCGGACTAAGGACAACAAGTGCTGGGATTCCCTATGCATTACCCTGAGGAGTGAGGCTATGGGGTTTCCAACTTTTGGGCTTCTACTGTAACCCCAAACCTCCTGTATAATGCCTCAAGGCCTAAACCCAAGGCCTTCGTGTTGTTGATTTTTCTATACTCCCCTTAGAACCATATTACACACAATTCATAATATTGTTAGTATTCTCTTGGGTTCTATATGAACAAAAATCAAAGAATAACTCCTAAGGAGACTATAGTTTTTAACGAGAAGGACTTCGCAGCCACCATGCTGACGTTCTCGGCCGTGCGCACTCGCAACCGGAACAAGTTCGTCCTACGGATCCGAAAAGCCTACTGCTTCAAGGGTCAGGCCTGCAATGAGGTTGCCATGGCCTACTATCTTGCAGGGTTAGGGGCTACCGGCTTAGAGTCGGCCTAAGTTCAAGTCAGACAAGTCAGTCAGAAGATCAGATGGCGCAGCACAGCAACGAAGTGCATGCTCCAGCGCCATACACCCCTAAACCGCAAGTCCTAAACCTCTATAGAACCCTTAAACTAGGATGCCCAGTAACCTGGGGATAGAAAGGGCTCCCTTTCTGGTATTGGGTAACTTTATAGGGAACCTAGGACTACAAAAAGGGAATAAGGGTCCTACTGGGCATCCTAGTAAAGGGATCATGGAACCCGTCAGAGAACTTTCAAAAGGAGCCTTAGAGCAACCTTGCAGGCTCCAAGGATTACGTGAGATGTCCGTCGGAGAGGCGGTCGCCTTCTTCGCGGTGGTCTTCGGAGGTGCTCCAGAGGGCTTGGTTTCAGGCCCAGGTCCTTCTGGAGCTTCACCAGTGCCACCATAGCTTCCTCGAGGAGGCTCGTCGGCGCTGTAGAAACCTCGAATCGCCAGCGTCGGTGACTTCGGACCCAACAGCACGCCATCCACCAGGCATCACTCCAATACTGGTGATTCGTGAGTTCAGGGTTTTCGGCATAGAACTTTAGGGTTCAGGGTTTGGGTTTAGGGTTTACTTAGGGGGGCTTGCTGCTTCAGGTTTAGGGCATGAAGCTTTAAGGGATTGAGCTTCGCTCGGACTCTCAGGGCACTTAGCAAGTAGGGCTTTAATTGGTTTGTAAACTCCCCCTAACCCTAGGCATCTAAGGACTCATATATTAAGGAATCCCTAACCCTCGGCATCTAAGGACTCATATATTCAGGCTTTTGGGCCCGAAGACCATACTATATAAGGCTTTTGGGCTATTTCGATGCCCAGGGTAACTGGGGTTCTCCTATTTGTAGCCTTCGGCTTTTGGAAGAAAGCGGCTGGGTTTAGGGCTGAGGGTCTTAAGTGTTTAGGGTTTGGGTTTCAGGGGCAAAGGCTTCGGTATATGGCAAGCCAGCTGCACATCTAAACTCGGAGCTCAAACCCAAAAAACAACCAACACACACACACACACACACACCCGTAGACGTCACCATGACCCTCATTCACATATCGGAAAAAGGCAGGTACTCTGGGTACTTTGGAGATACTTTCATGACGCGGAAGTCGCCCTAAAGCCTAAACCGTATGTCGGGAAAAGACACGTATTCTAGGTACTTTGGAGGTGCAGGTAGAGCTGTTTGCAACTGCAGGGTGTTTTGGGGTGTGGAACTGGGTCTGGGCAGCTACGAGGATTTAGGGTTTAGGGTTTTAGGGGTTATTAGGGTTTAGAGCGTTTAGGGTTTCGAGTTTTGGCCACCGACGCCAGTGTTGAGTCACTAGGTCATTGGGATCATGACAACATCACTTCAATGAGTTACGACGATGACAAACATTCAACCCACCTACCATGCACTTTTATTTTTCATGCCTGCAAAGAGGTCGGCACTTGGGAGCAAGCTTTCACACCGAGACTACCGCATTCCGTACATATTGCAGCAGACTGAATCAACAGGTACTCAATAAAATCTACAAGAGCAGGTTAGATGAGTGCACTATAGTGTACTATAGCGTACTTTCGTGCACTATAGTGCTATCTTACGTTATGGGATACTATGTAGTCAATGAAAACTACTGGCCGCCTACTGATCCCTGAGGACAGCTGCAAGACAGTAAGCACTGCTACGGGTGTCGTGGTGCTGGTCGCCCAGCTTCAGCTGACGCTGCTGCAAGGCGCTGCGAAGTAACGACTCTGCCTCTTCAAGGTAGCCCCGCGCGTGCTGCAGCCTTCCCAATTCATGCATGCAATCCGACGTGTCCAAATCGTGCTCGGTCAGATGTGCTCGGCGGTACTCCATGACAGTGCGGTGCAGTGGCTCCGCTTCTTCAAGCTTGTCCTGATCATGCAAACACTTGGCATAATTGAAAGACAGCCTGAGTGTCAAATGGTGCCACTCCCCCAACAACGAGTAAGCTTTCTCCAAGCCCTCCCGGTGCAACAGCTCAGCTTCTTTGAGGGCACCTTTTGCACGCAACAATTCTGCCAGGTTGTTGATACGCACAATCGTTGACAAGTTCCTTTCCCCCTCCTGCACCCTGCAAGCTTCCAAGCACTCGCGGCTCAGCGGCTCAGCTTCGCTCAGCTTGCCTTGTTTATGAAGTGCCAGGGCAAGATTACTTTTGTAATCGTTCAACTCCGTGGATGTGAGGTCCGTCCTGCCAAGAAGCGCTCGGCATAATCGTTCTACCTCCCCGAACTTCCTAAGACTGATGGAGTGATGGATGAGGCAGTCGTGGAGCTGCATTATGGTCCTTTTTGTTCTGTGATCCGCGTGCCCAAATGTGACTGCACACTTCTCCGCTGCTTCACGGAGCACTAGCTCAACCTCTTCGAAGTTGCCCTGGTCGAGGAGCAACTTACTGAGGGTCTTCATGATATCGAGAGTTTTCGGGTGCAACTCACCCAGTGTGGCTCGAAATTTTTCGAAACAGTGACGACACAGCAGCTGCGCCTCCTCCAGTTTGCCTTGGTCGCGCAGCAAAAAACCGAGGCTGCTCATGGTACCCAGAGTATCTGGATGGGATTCACCCAACTTGGCAAGTTGGATTTGCCAGCACTCGCGAAGTAGCAGTTCAGCCTCATGAAAGTTGCCTCTTTGCTTTCGTGCTGCTCCCAACCAAAACATGCTGAGCAAGGTGTGCGGGTGCTGGTCTCCCAATGCTTCTCGCCGCCTTGTGAGGCACTTATCATGCAACAACTCAGCCTCCTCGACTCTCTCTGAATCCAGCAGCAGCGCCGCAAGGTTGCTCATACAGCTCAAGGTGTTCATGTGGTCTTCTCCGAGGAGGCTCTGGCACCTGCGCAAAGTTTCTCGGTAAATGGCCTCAGCATGTTCGAACCTGTGCCGTCCCTGCATCTTCAGAACCAGTCCCAGATTAATCAAGACGAACAGCTCGTCACCATCGGAGCCCAAGGCACGGAATCCATGCAAGGCTTCGTTGTAGTAGCGTTCCTCACAGCATGTAGAGGCATATCTTACCCAATTACACGTCTCTTCCAACCGAGCTGTCAGTCCAGACTAGCATCTGTACAGAAACAGTCAGCATGATAAATAATGTTGCACTCGGTTTTGTATCGCGGCCCACTGTAATCACAAGTTCTGGTGGCTTATTCAGGATTTGGTGTTTGATGGGGTCACCCGCTATATATTCACAAATTTTTTGGGAAGGGTGATGTTTTTTAAAAAGGGTTTCGGGCTCTAGGCTGAGGTCTGTTTTGCTGTCGAGCAGGCTTCCAAAACGGCCTTGGCCTTGGCAGGAAAGCAGGAAAGCTTCAGGCCTAAAGACTTCAAGCTGTAAGAACTGTTGGCTTCCGGGAAGCTTGACAATCCAGAGAATCTAGGAAGCTAAGCCCAGCCAACTCCATCTAAAACCATACAGTACTCGCTTCTCTTACGAAACCAGGCCCCAAACAAATTTCGTGATAGGTAGCCCACGGGCCACCGCAAACCGCTTTGGTAGGTTTGTTGGGGTCACTCGCTATATTCACAAGTTTTTTGGGAGGGGGGAATTGTTTTGGTGGGTTTCGGGCTGTAGGCTGAGGTCTGTTTTGCTGTCGAGCAGGCTTCCATAAGGGCCTTGGCCTTGGCAGGAAATCTGGAAAGCTTCAGGCCTAAAGACTTCAAGCTTCAGGGGCCGTGGCTTCCAGGAAAGTTATCCTCCTCCTCTCGTCCTCCTCTCCTCCTCCTCTCTCCCCCCCTCCCAGATTTTTTGGGGGGGGGGGGGGGCGTTTTTTTCTTATAGAGCGAATCAATTTGTTTGGGGGGGGGGCGGGGGGGGAGGGGCTTGTTAAACCGTGTGCAACAGTACCGCCTATCCTTAGTTCAGAACCCTAGACCTGCAACCAAAAGCAATCGAAAACCCGAAACCCTTCGACTAGGTTCGGCATCTTCAAGTTGGCCACGGCCCTGCAGCTTCCGTGCAAGCTCCGCGATGCAAGCGAGAGTTTCGCGGTCTCCATCACCCAGCCGGCTCCGCAAACGGCTAATGCGCAACCTCCCCGTCTCCAGGGAAGGACTTTTAGTTCTGTTGCTGCAACGATTTAACCAACGAAAAAACTAAGGAACTAAGTAGTAACGAACGAACGAATGAATTCACTTACCAACTGACTGACTGACTCAATGACTCACTAACTAACTAACTAACTAACTATCTATCTAACTAACTAACTAACTAACTAACTAACTAACTAACTATCAGACGGACACAATTTCTAAGGAAGCACACGCAGCTTCAGAATATTCTCAAAGGTCTCGGATGCAGTGGCGGCATGCTTCGCCTCTCCAAGGTTGTCAGTGAAGCGGATAACCCACACATCGCGATGGCGGTGCACTGGTCGGCCTTTGTAGTCTTCGCCAAGGTGAATTGGTCGGTCTTTGCCATCAGGGGCCGTGACCCCTCTGTTGACCATATCTGGTGTCTGTCTCTCAAAGATGTTGTAGGCAATGTCCCTGGGCACGACCAAAGGAATGCAATAGGCAGCGCGGTGACCCAGTGGATTTGTATCGCCCCACTCGCATGCTACACGCCGCGGCTCGGGATCTGATGGGTCGAAGCAAAGAGGGCTGTCATTACTGTAGCTGTTCATGAGGATGCGAAGTCGTGTACCCCACACTGCCGGCTCGCGGCACGTTGCATAGACTCCCTTCCCAAAGTGTGCGCGGCTGTCTTCCAAAGAAGCAAAAAGCTGAGCAGCCAGTTGCTCTACATCGCAGACGTTGCGGAAGCCCAGCTCGTTTGTGTAGTGGTACAGTATGACGGCATCCTCCGGATTCTGGCTGAAGCTTCGCAAATCGAAAGCATGTTGCCAAACCTGCACTGGACCATCTGGGGCATTGTATTCGTATGTCTTGATCTGATCAAGTGCAGAGGAGCCGTACAGATCACTATCAGCGAAGCATTCGCCATCTAGGTACTTGTGGTTGAAGAAAGCCGTAAGTTCTGCAGCGTCGGTGTTCAGACACGTCTCATGCGGCAGACTGTGCTCCATCAACATTCACGTAGAGCGAACGCCACGCCTAGTACGGAGCGTGTGTCTTTCTAGAAACTTGGGGCTGGCTTGTAATCGGACTGTCTTGTGGATACAAGCTGACTGAAGAGGTATACTGCATCAAAGACCATTCTTGTTCAACCCTGTCTGCAGACGAAACGGACGTGATATGGTTATATCAGAGCATGTTCTCCACAGAGCTGGGGGCGGTACCTTGTGCTGCAACATGCCAGTGCCGCATTACCTTGCTCCTCTGTACTGGCAGAAGCCCTACGTAAACCCTTTAGAACAACTATGTAAACCTATAGATGTCCGATGTAGAGGCCGTGCAAGACCATCTAAAAGAGCAGCAGAGACATAAACAAAGACTTGAAACCTGAAATCGCCAG